CATTTTAGACACTGGACAGGTCATCACTAATTCTTTTTGAACTGTGTGATGACCACGAATCTGGACCCTGGCCTTCTGTGATATATTGGAGCTGTCAAGAGGCGTGCACACCTAACAACATTTTGATTTTTTTTAGTCATCATTACAGAAGCAAAACAGAAGTTAAGGCAAGTAAGTCTCACCTCATCCTTTCTCCTCTTAATGAAGAATATACAAGTTTATCTGGCCTTGCGAATATAACTTTGTCCAGCTGACCATCTTGAGCCTTAGAGAGATTGCTCCGCACTGTGTAATGTGCATTCACAATACACAATATGATACCTTAAGTTGTTTTTCATGCGGTGCGCAATGTGTCAAATGAATACTGAATAGCCGGTTAAAGAATAATAAGAACATATTGTTATCTTTGCTGTTATGCATTGTGTACCTTGCTGACGATGTGGCATTAACCCGCGCGGGGCTGGGGGGGTAAATTTTACCCCCCCTCGCGAATTTTTGCAATATCTCAAAAACGGCGGCGCGCAGCGCCGCCAAACTTTCAGTACCTTTTCTTACATCAATTTGACACGTTCCCTGAAAATTTGAGCGAAATCCGTCGGAAAATTTTTGAGAAATTGACGTTTTAGTGACGTCATGTTCGCCATTTTCGCCTCAAAAACGGCAAAAGTTCAAACGCCGCTAACATCTTCATTTTTAAAGAAATCAAGACGTAACAAAAAAGGATATACGTAATTCTACTTTGTCTATCAAATGGCTATCTCGGTTTTTTGAAAATTTTGGATTTTGGCCCAAATTTTTCCAAAAAACTGACTTTTTTGGGAAAATAGCTGTAAAATCCAAAATTTTGAATGTATCGAAAAAACCGGAATATACGTCAGAGAAGTGGTCTATGTGTACCTACATACCAAGTTTTAGAAGAATCGGTTCAAAAATGTGGGAGTTATTCAAAATTGTATGACGTCACGACACACAAAAATTTTGAAAAATGACTTTTTTGGAAGTTCTAGACCTCGTAAGGAAACGAAAATAGCACCATTCGACTCGCCGTGAAAAACTGCATCAGATAGACACCTTTTTAGGCCTTAGCAACCAACTTCAAAATTTGACCTCACTTGACCTGACCTTGACCTGACCTCGACCTGAAATTCATCCAGAGGTGGTCCATATCACTTATTGAGTGTGCCTATTGAATTCTATGAGTAAAATGACCCATAAAACATGTGTCGCACATGCCCTTTTCTATATTTTGTTTTTGGTGACCTGACCTGACCTGACCTGACCTTGACCTTGACCTCTGAATGATATTGTATACAACGAATATTGTCTTGGTAGCCTAAGAACACGTTTTGGGAGATCAGTCTCAGTCCATGACTCCATTCTTCGGCAACTACGGTGCAAGGCCGATACTGTAGGAACTTGCAATTTGTACCCTTGACCTGACCTTGACCTTGACCTCAAACTTAAAATTAAGTACATGTTTTTAGTTGTTCGTGATGAGATCTTTCGATTGGCGTTTGAATTTTCCAAATCGGACCATTAGTTCGGGAGATAACAGGGGGGGTAAAATTTCCCCCCCCCCCCAGCCCCGCGCGTTCGGCTGGAGACCCCAGCCCCGCGCGGGTTAAATTCACGAAACCAAACAGCAAAGTATTTCTCAGTTGCGCGATGCTGGGAGTGATTAAACGAACTTTTCATTTTTGCAGATTTATGACAAAGAGCAAAATAGCAGCACCCCACACCCTAAGTATGCACGGAAAATTACACGATTGAAACAAAATACTTTAGACTTAATACTGACGGAGAGATATGGCTACCTAAAAACGCTCATTATAACGCCAGAGCTTTGTCCTGACTTAACCCTCGCCGGACCTATTGGTTTTCTACATACGCGCCGGCCGGGGGGGGGGGGGGCGGGTACGACCCCCCCCCCCTCGCGTTTCGCCCCTGGTGGAGCTAGCGCGTCACGGAAAAAACGAGCGTGTGCGCCGTTACGAGACGCAGAGATTGGTACCCGATTTTAAGGTCCTAGGTCAACCTGTGACCTCTGAGGTCAGGTCAAGTGCCCCAAGGTATGGTTCAGTTTTTGGTGAATAACTTCGCAAAAACGGCCGCAGAGCCGCGATTTTGGCAGCATCGTGTTCGCCTTGCTCAGGCGCGTCGAATGATATACTTTTGTCCGGGTCAGGTCAACTTGGGGTGTTGACCTCAGGTCAAGGTCAGGTCAGCACCCCCAGGTCACGAAGTTGGTCAAAAGAGGTCATGTTGCATATCATTCGATTCGGCAGGTCTTCCTGAGTCCATTGGTGGCTTTCCCGACTCGCTAGCTCAATTTGATCAAGAGTTAGAAAAACTAATATGACCTTGATGACGTCATAAATGACGTCACGCAAGGTCAACATTGCAAAAATGACGCATCTAACCTTGCATGGAGTGCATCAAATCACGATTCTGTGTGCTTGAGATAGCTGGAGATCGTTCCCGGCGCCAGAATAGCAGTTTTCATTTTTCCCCATTGACATAATGGTGAGGTCACGAAAATGACCTGACCTCATATGACCTTTAGGAAAAATCCGAGATATACAACTTGTGAGACACATAATGGATACTAGATCCTGCAAGTTTCATTTCCCTGTGACATCTCCTCTGGCAGTGAGGGCGTTGCGAAGTTGCGACATCTGAAGACCATGCAGAGGTTCACTTATGACGTCATAGGTCAGTGACCTGACCTGACCCAAAAATGTGGTTGGTGTCACAAGATCTGGCTTGAATCAAAGGTTAGGTATGCTAAGTTTCAGCTCTCTATCCCCAGCGTGTTTGGAGCTATTGTGAAAAAACCCTATGGGGGGGGCGGCACCCGCCCCCTCCCCTCGGCCGGCGAGGGTTAAAAAATGGATATAGCATAGCAAGTGAAAAAAAAATCAAATGAGCTCGGAACGACATACGGAATTAAATTTTATACCGCAGTTCCTTCCTAAGCCAGCATTTATACATACCTACTTTAATTGGGCTTGGCCTTGGTCTTATTTAAACACTCCTTTGACCTTTTTCACAAAGGCACATTGTATTAGAATCTTGTGGCCGCAGTCGTGCCACTGCGGCGCCGCCGCCGCCCCGTCCAGGCTCGGGATGAGTTATATGGCATTGTGCGGGGCGGGGCCGGGAGGAAACGGCCGGCGGCACGCGCAGCGCAATTGTAAATTTAAGATATGTCATTTAAGGCACGTAGGCCGCCAAGCTGGCGCCTTCCGTCACCTCGTCGCTGCTGTGCAAGTTCGCACTCGTTTTGGGCGTGTTCTAGACGTTTCGTAACCTGTTGAATAAAAGGTGGGTCACGTACGACCCCCGGCCAGTCTGGGCCGGCGCGCGACGGAGGCAGCTGGCAATACAACGGCAATGTGGACATAAGGAGTTTTCTACAAGCTATTTCGGCCTTGGAAGACTGCCGTGATGGGGAACGAGAAGGAGACCTGTGATGGTTCGGACGCTGCGGCTGATCTCCGCTTAATCCCGGAGTTTGACGGTGTGTCGCAGCCCGTGTGCGAGTGGCTGGACAAGGTCGAACTTGTGTGTCAGCTGCGCGGCATCAAGGGACTGCACGTCGTCGTCCCGCTGAGACTCACTGGTGGTGCGTTTGCGGTATATCAACAGCTCGGAGAAGATGAGAAGAAGAAGTACGAGGACATCAAAAGGGCCCTGACATCGGCGTTTGCTTCGGATCGGTTTGAAGCCTACGACCAATTTGAACGTAGAAGGCTGCGTCCAGGTGAGACGGTGGACGTGTTCGTCTCTGAGCTGCGCCGACTGGCTGGCTTGTTCGGAGGTATGCCGGACGACAGCCTGGCCTGTGCCTTCGTGGCCAAACTGCCAGATTCAGCACGCCGTGCGCTCCGGGCTGGATCACGGATGGAGGACATGCCGTTTAGCCAGCTAATCGGTCGCGCTCGGGCCGTGCTAGCCGACGAGGAAACAAACACCGCGGCCGCCGCCGCTGGCACAAGGACTGGAGCACTCCCGGCCACAATGAAATGCTACTCGTGCGGGCAACCGAACCATATCGCCCGCGACTGCACGGCAGGCCGCGGACAGCGGGGCCGTGGAGGCCCCCGTGGTGGACGGAGCCTCGTGAGGTGCTACAACTGCAACCGGCAGGGGCACATCGCCTCTGCGTGTCCGGAAAACGACGCGGGAGGGGAGAGATCAGCGCCAGCCTCCTCTCCTGTCGACCAGTGAACGGGGCGCTGCCAGTCGCGCAGCTGTCGGTGGACGGAGCGAGCTGCAAAGCGCTGGTTGATACAGGATGCAGCCAGTGTGTAGCTCACGTGTCAGTTTGTCGGAGGTGGAACCGACGCCCGGTGAGCGTGATGACAGTGAGTGGAGGGCGTTATTGGTGTGAGGGGTCAGGCGTGGCACGCGTGCAGCTGCGGTCCGGTGAATCAGTGTCCGTAGATGTGCTCGTCGTAGCACGTAAGCCACTGGGGTTTGAGTTCATCCTCGGGATGAATGGTATCAGAGCACTGGGTGGCGCCACAGTGAGTTCGGATGACCGAGTCAGATTCGGAGTTGAGGCAGCGGTGTCTCATATAGCGGCGTCAGTGGCCTCACCCGGTGACCGGGTCAGCTGTGATGGTGAGAGGACTGGGGTGTCGCGTGCATTGGCAGCGACTGCACGGGTGAGTCATGATCAGGCGAGCAGTGAGCCGGCCCCAGCGTCAGGTGCAGCGGCGGCTGCTGCAGCAGTGAATCGAGCTGACAGCAGTAAGGGGGATCCGGTGTTGGGTGCGGCGGCGGCGGCCGCACCGGCTAATCGAGCCGACGAGAAGGACTTTGTGGTGAGCTTTGATGAGACAGAAAAGAAGTGGTCGGTGGAGTGGAAATGGTGTAGAGGAAAGGAGCCCGAGCAGCTGCACAATACAGCAGAGGAGTACGCGATTCCAACAGAAGCCCGACACGAATACGAGCGAGAACTCTCCAAGTGGGTGGCGAATCAATGGCTCGCTCGTCCCTTATGATGAGAGCGTGCACGGGAGGGTCAAAGGCACGATCCCGCTCATGGCGGTCATCCAACCGAAGAAGGACAAAGTGCGTCCCGTCATGGATTTCAGGGAGTTAAATACGCACCTGGACCCGCATACAGCTGACGCGGATGTTTGCAGTGAAAAAATCCGTGAGTGGCGTCGGTGTGGACGAAACGTGTCTCTCCTAGATCTGCGAGACGCCTACCTGCAGATCCACGTGCACGCATCGCTGTGGCCGTATCAGACTGTAGTGTTCCAGGGCAGACGGTGGTGTCTGAGCAGACTTGGCTTTGGGCTCAGTCTCGCACCGATGGTGATGAGAAAGGTGCTGGAAATGGCCCTGAAACGTGACCCGAGGGTGCACACCGCTACATCACCTTACGTGGACGACATACTCGTAAATGAAAACATCGCTACTGCATTGGAGGTGAAGGGTCATCTGGAGGCGCTCGGTCTGACCTGCAAATCCCCGGAGAAGGTGTCAGAAGGTGCTCGTGTCCTGGGCATTCGAGTCTGGGGGGAGCGGCAAGGACTGTTCTGGAAGCGGGACAACCAGGATCTACAGCCGCCGCCAAAGCTGACGAGGAGAGAGGTCTTCTCGCTGTGCGGACGTCTGACAAGTCAGGTTCCGGTGTGTGGCTGGCTGCGTGTCTCCGCATCCTACCTGAAAAGACGCGCCACTGCAGCGACAGACGGCTGGGATGACGAGATCACCGACCCAGAACTCCAGAAAATGGTCATGGAAACGCTGCAGCGCGTGAAAACGGCCGATCCCGCACGAGGTCGCTGGGATGTCACCGGCGATGAAGGAGTCGTGTGGGTGGATGCCAGCTCCCTCGCCATAGGAGCCGTGCTGGAGATGGAAGGCAGCATCGTTGAGGACGCCTGCTGGCTTCGGAAAAATCCCGAGACACACGTGAACCTTGCAGAACTGGACTCTGTTGTGCGTGGCATCAATCTGTCCCTGGCATGGAACCTGAAGAAAGTGACTGTCGTGACGGACTCGAAAACGGTCTATCACTGGCTAACAGATGCGCTCTCCGGCAGAGCTCGGATAAAGACGAAGGCGGCGAGTGAAATGCTGATTAGAAGGCGCCTGGAGACCGTGAAGAGTCTGAGAGATGAGTACGGCCTCCAGCTGACCGTGAAGTGCGTTCCGTCAGTGGACAACAGGGCTGACGCACTGACGAGAGTGCCGAAGAAGTGGCTGAACCAACAAAGCGATCCTGAGGTCTGCGGCGCTGCCTTCTCGGCGCCGGATGTGGTCAGGATCCATGAAACAAGCGGACACCCAGGCATCGGGAGAACGCTGCGCCTGTGTAGGGAGCACGACCCGGCTGTGAGCAGGCACCAGGTGCGCAGTGTCGTTAGCCAGTGCGAAAAGTGCCAGTCCATCGATCCAGCGCCCCAGCGGTGGACACATGGTTCGCTGAGCGTGACCAAATGCTGGGACAGGGTCAGCATGGACGTCTGTCACTTAAACGATCAGCTGTACCTGACTCTGATTGACTGCGGTCCGTCTCGGTACGCGATCTGGCGGCGGATAAAGCGACAGGACACCGACAGCATCATCACGGCTCTGGAGTCGGTATTCCTGGAGCGCGGCGCTCCGAGGGAGCTGCTGACGGACAACTTCACCTCATTCCGCAGTGCCGCATTCCACGAGTTCGTCAGCCGGTGGGGTGTCAGCGTCCGGTACCGAGCTGCCCATGCGCCGTTCGGCAATGGTGTCTCTGAGAGAAACCATAGGTCGGTCAAAACAATCGTAGCGCGCAAAGGCTGCTCAGTGGCGGAAGCAGTCTACCGCTATAATGTGATGCCGCGCAGTGATGACCTGAACTCTAGTCCTGCCAACGTACTGTTCAACTACAAACTGAGAGTGCCGGACGTGGAGAGTGAGGAAAAGTGCGAAGAGAGTGAGTGTGCTATGTTCAGTGTAGGCGATAAGGTATGGATCAGAGACCCTAGTCGCCGGTGTGATGTGCCAAGTTCCATAGGAACAGTCACCCGACAAGTGTCGGCGCAGTGTGTGGAAGTAGACAATGTCCCCCGTCACGTGAGAGATCTGAGACTGGCTTTCGTTCCCAGTCCGGAGAGTGGCCAGACTGAGCCGCCGAACAATGACAATGACGACTCTGGCCCAATTATCTTGCGAGAGTGTGCGCACGAAAGCCACGGGGAAAATGTGCCCCCTGTGACGTACGCTGAAGTTCTACGCCGCGGCATGCGGGAGAGACGCCCTGCCGTTCTGACCCAGTACGATGATTTGTAGATCAGGGGGGAGTGTATTAGAATCTTGTGGCCGCAGTCGTGCCACTGCGGCGCCGCCGCCGCCCCGTCCAGGCTCGGGATGAGTTATATGGCATTGTGTGGGGCGGGGCCGGGAGGAAACGGCCGGCGGCACGCGCAGCGCAATTGTAAATTTAAGATATGTCATTTAAGGCACGTAGGCCGCCAAGCTGGCGCCTTCCGTCACCTCGTCGCTGCTGTGCAAGTTCGCACTCGTTTTGGGCGTGTTCTAGACGTTTCGTAACCTGTTGAATAAAAGGTGGGTCACGTACGACCCCCGGCCAGTCTGGGCCGGCGCGCGACGGAGGCAGCTGGCAATACAACGGCAATGTGGACATAAGGAGTTTTCTACACACATCATGCAGCTGAGAACAGTGCATGCCATGACAAGCGAGAAGGTATCAACCAATGGCAATGCCAATCATTTTTAGAGAAATAGATGATAAGATCCGACCCTTGGGTAATTGACATTAGGTTACCGGCTGATCTTTCATATTGACCTTTGGTGCCATTTGCTGCGTCTCATGACGATCAACAGACGCTCACTGTCTCTCTCTCTCTCCCTCTCCCTCTCTCTCTCTCTCTCGCTCTCTCTCTCTCTCTCTCTCTCTCTCTCTCTCTCTCTCTACCGCTCTCTCTACCGCTCTCTCTACCGCTCTCTCTACCGCTCTTTCTACCGCTCTCTCTCTCTCTCTACCGCTCTCTCTCTCTCTACCGCTCTCTCTCTCTACCGCTCTCTCTCTCTCTCTCTCTCTCTCTCTCTCTCTCTCTCTCTCTCTCTCTCTCTCTCTCTCTCTCTCTATCGTGCTCTCTCTCTATCGCTCTCTCTCTATCGCTCTCTCTCTATCGCTCTCTCTCTCTCGCTCTCACTCTCTCTCTCTCTATCGCTCTCTCTCTATCTCGCTCTCTCGCGCTCTTTCTCTCTATCGGCGCTCTCTCTCTCTATCGCCTCTCTCTATCGCCTCTCTCTATCGCCTCTCTCTATCGCCTCTCTCTATCGCCTCTCTCTATCGCCTCTCTCTATCGCCAAGACTAAGCCTCTCTCTCTCTTTCTCTCTCTCTCTCTCTCACTCTCTCTCACTCTCTCTCTCTCTCTCTCACTCTCTCTCACTCTCTCTCTCACTCTCTCTCACTTCTCTCACTCTCTCTCACTCTCTCTCACTCTCTCTCTCTTACTCTCTCTCACTCTCTCTTTCCCTCTTTCCCTCTTTCCCTCTTTCTCTCTTCCCCTCTTTCTCTCTTCCCCTCTTTCTCTCTTTCTCTCTTTCTCTCTCTTTCTCTCTCTCCCTTTCTCTCTCTTCTCTCTCTCTCTATCTCTCTCTCTCTCTCTCTCTATCTCTCTACTCCTTTCTTCTCAGAGCAAACACATCTCCCACTTAGTCACCAAACCACGTCATACCTACACCTGACAAACTCATCGTGAGTAGGTAGCTACTGAATTTAGCAAGCCTCTTGGCCATTTCATCATCCACCTTGCAATAAATCGTGTTACAATCTTACCTTAGGCTCTGGCCAGCTCAACACTGTCGCCCCTCCCCACCTCCTTCAAACAATCCTGTGGTGCAGCGCTCCATGATAACCATGATCTGATAATCCGCTCTGACGGCTTGGGCATAGGCGGTGGAACGAGGGGGGAGGGGCACCGGGGCACCGTGCCCCCCTTTGATTTTGGCATTTTAACATTAGCCCTATGGGCATTGCATAGAAAGAATGGGACCAAAAGTCGGCAGTGCTCCCCCCCCCTTAATTGAAGGTTTCCACCGCCACTGGGCTTGGGTAGCCAAACCGCTGAGTCTGCAGTCTGCACTACGCTCTCGAGTGGACAACACCAAACCGACTGATCAGCATGACCGGGCGTCTTGTGGCCGGTATAAATGCTACCAGAGTGGCTGGTGGCCGGCGGGGTCAGTAAGAGCTCTGCCGTAATTACGGTACCTGCTTTTGTGTGTCAAAGCTCTGCAACACAGAACGCCGGGATCGGCAGAATTATTGGCGTCTTACGTTGATCTGACATTGAGGTGAGAAATGTTTGACAAGCTTCCTTTATTCTTTCATTTCTAGGCGCAATATGGCATGCAAACAATTTTGTGATCAAAAATATTAAGCAGATAAGTAATGACCATTTAAGCAGATAAAAATGCTTTAGTTTAACCTGCGCATGGCAGGGGGGGGGGCCGCTCTATGTACAGAGCCACCCTCTGTTTTTCTGCAATATCTTCTACACCACTTGACGCATCCACACGATTTGACAGCACGATTTGAGAGGCATCAATTTGACACGTTGAGTTCAAATAACAATTTTCTAGCTACCATAGGTCGGCCGGAAATGACGTCAGAGTGACGTCATGTCAGCCGATTTTGATGCAAAACATTTAACTACGGTAATCGCTCTCAAAACCTAAGTTGTTAAAGGTAGTGTGCCAGCTTTCCTGGACCATATGGAGTTAATGACCCGGATAAGGAGAACCGGATTTTTAGAACTTATCCATACCTTCAAAACTCATGGAAACGTCTTAAATTCTTCAAATTTTGAGTACCCCAGTGCGAAGTTCGCCCCGACGGGTTGTCGGTCGTACCCCAACCACATTTCACACCATGACTAAGAACAATAAATGCACACACTAAATCGCTATTACCGATAGGCTCATCCAATCAAGTTTCGATAAACCCGTTCATCATCATCTCCTGCGGTTTCGAACACGCCTGTTAGGTGGCTTCAGATGCTCGTCGAGGTCGGGATTTCCAAATACGCTATACTCATACTTACTTTGTGGTGCGGTGGTGGTGCGTCGGGCCGCGCGCTCTGACTTCGGCCAAGAAAAATGCGTCAGCTGATCATTGTCATTTCTGCCACTTGCGTGTGGTGAAATGGGGTCATAACTTAAGAGACGGCTGTTTCATATCAATTATTTTACATAAAATCATATTTCAAACCATAAATTAATGTTCGACAGCCAAATTAAAGAAACAATACCAATATAGGCTTACAGTTTAAGTTCGACATTGTGTTGTCTACGATTAGACAGCTGATAACTCATTCCCGTACGTCGTAACTCTATATTGACCTTTGCTTATTGTCACATGTGCGCCGCATTCGCGATTGTTGCCGACTCCTGTTTGCAGGTCAGCCCACTACAGTTGTTATACATATCGAAAAACCGATAAACTTTTAGGCAAAAAAGGCACTATTCCAGGCCCATTTTTGATTTTTTTGCGATATTAAGTAAAAACAGAAGCTTCTTTTCCTAGGAAAAATAAAATGGGAAATCATTGGAAGGTGGCACACTACCTTTAAGCTAGATAGGATATCCTTGCATCTGTATGAGTGGACTGAGAATACACGTGGCTATCAAACTGCTATCTCGGATTTTCAAAGTTTTGAAAATTTAAGAAAATATACACACACAATAACAAAAAAGATTTTTTTTTTATTGACTTTTCGAGAAAATCGGAACAATGTGGTAATACACCTACCGATGAACTACTCTAGAAGTTGTAGCCCAAAATCTTCAAAAATGGCTGAGTTATCCGCATTATAGTAAAAATTTCACAATTTTTAGATTTTTCAAATCCATTTTTCAGTACGTTTGTGACATCGAACAGTACAATAAATGGCACTATCGTGTTTCTGAGCTCACACTGCATCTGAAAAGCTTTTTTTCTTGAAAAAAAATCATTCAAGATTAAAGCTTTTTGACCTGAAAATGACCTGACCTCAGCTTAATGCAGCTGAAAATGACCTCAAATAACTCAGACTGGTCAGACGATAATGTTTTCGAAATCTAAGAGTGAAATGGACCATAAAACATGCGCCACGTGACCGATACATGATATAAAATTTTCGTAACTATATACCGATATTATTGATTTAGCCTATGTATGACGCTATAGCGTCCCCTACATCGGCTAAATCAATGTTTCATGTTATAACATGAAACATCCTCAACCGGTGTAGAAAAACCATCTCAAGGGTCATTTAACACCGTTGAATTGACACCTACGAGGGGTGTTTTTTGAAGCGTACCCAAAACGCGCAGTTTCCAGGAGTCCGATTACACCCGGAATCAGACACCCCCGAGGTATTCTGACTCTGGTGGGGAGTGTATTTTATACCACATGTCGTCAAATGATTCCTGGAATCATACACCTTATGGGATTAAAATACACCCCCGTAATCCGATTACTCCCTGGAGTGACACCTAAAAGGGGTGTTTTTTGAAGCGTACCAAAAACGCGCAGTTTCCAGGAGTCCGATTACACCCGGAATCAGAGTATTGTGACTCTGGTTTGGGATGTATTTTTATCCCTAAGGTGTATGATTCCGGGAATCATTTGACGCCATATGGTATAAAAATACATCCTCAACCAGTGTCATAATACCCTAGAAAGTGTCTGATTCCGGGTGTAATCTGACTCAAGAAAACTGCGCGTTTTTGGTACGCTTAAAAAAACACCCCTTTTAGGTGTCATTATTTTTTTCAGTGTAGGATGACCTGGTCTTGACCTAAAAAAATGAAGTATAGTCGACTACAGAATGATGTTCCACTCCTCAGAAGCTATCAGTTGACCGGAGCGCAAAGTTGTGCCGTTTATCGCGCAATTAAGCGAGTCGATTGTCAGCATTGGGACAAAGCTATAATTTGTGAACTCAGCCCGTATGATGCGGCACAGCCTACCACTCCAGGCACATAATTGCCTGTGAAAAGTGGAACATCATTCTGTAGTCGACTATACAAGCTCAGTACCGTCAGGGTATCTACGGCATATATCAAGGAGTGCAGAAACCGGATCAGACTTGTTAGCCAGCGCCCAGAGGCTAAATTGTGAACAAGCCAAAATGCTGATAATTTTTAATTTGACCTGCCCTTAAACGTCATCGGTGACCTCAAGGTCAATGAAATGAGGTTTCTTTCAACAGTTTTTCCAGAGCTATCAGACGCCATTTGAATTTTGACGATCGGCCCAGTAGTTTGGAGATAGGATGGGGGGGGGGGCTCTGTAGAACCCCCTCAGTCACTCGCGTTATGGAAAATGCCCTAGCCATGCGCGGGTTCATGTATTAGACCGTAACAACGATTGAAAGAAGTTTATTAACATTGTTTGCCACCACAATATGCCTTCAGATGATATGGTATTGTCTGGGTTCAACAAAATCAATATCATATAATTCAAATAAAGTGGAAATAATTCAAATATTTTTTTTTCTTCAAATAATTCACTTCGTTCAAATAAAGTGGAAGGTTCCCCTCTGCATGGGCAAAGGAACCTCACGAAAAGTAGGGGGGGGGGGGGCAGTGAAACTTCAATGTCACTTTTTGGGAGCCCCAATACCCCTATGAATAAATTCTCGCAGCAGGATATCGTCTCTCGCCTTGCTGAACCATTTCCTGCTCTTAGTTTTGTATTTAAATCAAAAATAAAGATTTTACTTTGAAAATGGCTAAGAAGTGGGGGCATGCCCCCCCCCTCCCCTGTTTCCACGCCTATGCTCCTCGGCCAATTGTTATCACGCTTGTTTCTTCCCAGTCAGGTCATCATGAAGGCGGACAAATTCACCCTGCTGCATCACTTCGAAGGCTTCCCGAAGTCAAACGACTTCCGTCTGGAGTCTGAGGAGCTGGGCGGTCTGAAGCCGGGCCAGTTCCTCTGTCAGGCCGAGTATCTGAGCGTCGACCCGTACTTGCGGCCCTTCTCGAAGCGTTTGAATCCGCCGTCCACCATGATCGGCGCTCAGGTGGCCAAGGTGCTGGAGAGCAAGAACGACAAGTACCCGGCCGGCTCCTACGTTGTGGCCGGTAACTTGGGCTGGCGGACGCTGAGCGTGGCTGAAGATCAGCCGGAGGATGGGCGATCGTTCACCGGCCTCGAGCCGCTGCCTGATCTTGGAGGCCTGCCGCGCTCCTACGCTCTAGGCGTCATCGGCATGCCGGGAGTCACCGCCTACTTCGGCTTCCTGGAGCTGTGCCAGCCCAAGGAGGGCGAGACGGTGGTGGTGACGGGCGCGGCCGGCGCCGTCGGCAGCCTGGTCGGACAGATCGCCAAGATCAAGGGCTGCCGCGTGATCGGCTTCGCGGGTACGGACGACAAGTGTGCCTGGATCCGCCAGCTCGGATTCGACGTGGCCATCAACTACAAGACGTGCGCCGATATCGACGCTGCTCTGAAAGAGGCTGCACCCAAGGGGATCGACTGTTACTTCGACAACGTGGGCGGCATGCTCAGCCACCGGATTCGGCAGCAAATGAACCTATTCGGGCGTTCCTCCGTGTGCGGCGCCATCTCCAGCTACAACGACAAGACGGGCCAGGGGGCGCAGGTGCCCGCGCCTGAGATGGACATCGTCTTTAAGCAGTTGCGAGTCGAGGGTTTCGTCAACGATCGGTGGTGGCACCGGCGTGAAGAGGCCTTCAAAGACATGGTCGCCTGGGTACGCGAGGGGAAGATCAAGGTTCAGGAGACGGTTACGACAGGCTTCGAGAAGATGCCTCAGGCATTTATTGGTATGCTGAAAGGCCAAAACACGGGCAAAGCAGTTGTGAAGGTGTGAAAAGAAGCATGATGAGATGAAATGAAAGGCAAGAATTACATGAAACCTCGTGTCTCGTGGTGTTATTTGATCAGCGAATGGTCAGATTGCAGTGAAGTAATCTGCTTTGTGATACTAATATCTTTCGTATATTTCTTTCACGTCCCTCTGTTATAGGCACACTGTGTTCGAAACGCTTGGCTTTGGGGTCATGCTGGTCGCTGTCTTCGCTTGAATACATCTAGATTCGTACGATACGTACATCTTACAGGTCTGATTTTCACCGCGAATGCGATATCTTGCGCCGCACCTGACGTTAATTAGTAAATTGACATGGACCTTACAACTCAAGAACATTTGAAAACATTATTTCGATTAATTTATTTGAAGTTTAGAAAACTTAGAGCAAATCGCCCTTTGATTCGCAGCACCATCACGCGTCGTTAATTGTTCTCAAGCCGCAAAAGCTTCACGTAAAAAAACGAACATAATCCCGAGATCTCTTTCCAGCCGATAGACAGGAGGAGGGTTGGTGGTTGTTGCAAATTGCCCTTGGCAGCTTTTTCGCCATTGCTCGGGACCATAGACCACTACATATCTACAGGGTGATTTTTTTTAACTATTAAAAAGTAAATGTCAATGGTGGTCCCTAAATCGAAAAATCGCGTGCAAAAAAGCAATGCACGTGATAGATAAATCTGGGACATTTTGTATGGTGTCATAATTTGTCCCTTTTAACCGAAGGCCTCGGCCCCAATGGAGCCTGAAAATGTCCCACCAATCGGGCACGCATGGTCCACCGCCGTTCAGAAGGAACGGCACAAAACGATGATTTTGAAGCATTGAGGCAGTTCGAAGCATGCGATCATCGAGGAGACACCCCAGAAAGACGTTAAATAATGCACGATAAAGCTTTTAGTCATAAATAACCTTCAAACGGTTCATTTGGCGTATGTGCAGCCTCTGAACAATCAGTCTTCAGGGAGAAAGAAAAACAACGAATCAGACACCACGAGGGCCCCCAGTATCGAAATCCTCGACCTGTCCGCTTAATAGCCTTCTAGTTTTTGGACCCAGCTATGGCAGATATAACAAGAAAACATTGGAAATATCTGGCAGAGCTGAAAATGGGTGATAGGAGCCTTTTCAGTCCGCCTAATGAGTATGTGAGTCCATGGTGCTGTTCAACACGTGCTCAGGCGGGCTGATTCGTGTTGGTGAGAGAGGGGGCAACTTCAAGCACAAGTAAAATACACGATGGACGTTCCTTCACATCGTGTCTGCATGAAATCAAAATGTCCCAGCATGCTTGTCATCCTGGTATATAATTTTGCAATATATATTTGTATTTTAATGCCACTAGACCCCATTACTTTTTAACAAGTAAAAAAAATCACCCTGTATAGTGGTCTATGTAGTGGTCTATGACCAGTATAACGCCTTTTGGGGCGACTAACGGAGCAAGCGAGAGGGTGAGCCTTGCACGTGCGAAATTTCGAGGGGGTACCTCCAACTGACTTGTGCACGGCACCCTACTAACCGGTCTCTAGCGATGTGCCAAATTTGAGCACAATCGGCCCAGCCGTTCTCGAGATATGGAAGCGGCACCCTGCACGTGCGCACGTGCAAATTGGGTTCCAACTGACTTGTGCACGGCACCCTATTAACTGGTCCCTAACCGTGTACCAAATTTGAGCGCCATCGGTCCAGCCGTTCTCGAGATCTGGAAACGACCCCTGCACGTGCGCACGTGCAGCAGCACCCCAACTCTGGCACATGGGGATATGCAGTGCCTAGTGGGTGCCTACCTACATGCCAACTTTCAGCGCAATCGGCCAAGTAGTTACCGAGATATTGCAACAATTACAAAACTGACACCTCTTCGTTTTGCACGTGGCACGTGCATAAGGGGTCACCCACATGCATCGGGAATAGTCCAATACTTGGTAGAAGGAATGAAGCTACCCTACAAAAATTACCGCGTGTAAATCGGTCAAGTGGTTGCTGAGATATAAGCCTCGCAAAAGCGTCCGCACGGCCGGCCGCTCATACTCAGAAATTTCCGTTAATCTAAGGAAAGACTACGCTCGCTTCGCTCGCTCCGTAATTACGGAGCGAGCGAAGCGAGCGTAGTCTATCCTCAGAACGGAAATTTCTGAGCATGAGCGGCCGGCTGGCCGGCCGGCCGTGCGGACGCTTTTGCGAGGCTTATATCTCAGCAACCACTTTACCGATTTACACGCGGTAATTTTTGTATGGTAGCTTCATTCCTTCTACCAAGTATTGGGCTATTCCCGATGCATGTGGATGACCCCTTAATGCACGTGCCACGTGCAAAACGAAGAGGCAACAGTTTTGTAATTGTTGCAATATCTCGGTAACTACTGGGCCGATTGCGCTGAAAGTTGGCATGTAGGTAGGCACCCACTAGGCAATGCATATCCATGTGCCAGAGGTGGGTGCTGCTGCACGTGCGCACGTGCAGGGGTAGTTTCCAGATCTCGAGAACGGCTCGACCGATTGCGCTCAAATTTGGTACACAGTTAGGGACCAGCTAGTAGGGTGCCGTGCACAAGTCAGTTGGGACCTATTTTGCACGTGCGCACGTGCAGGGTGCCGCTCCCAGATCTCGAGAACGGCTGGGTCGATTGTGCTCAAATTTGGCACATCGCTAGAGACCGGTTAGTAGGGTGCCGTGCACAAGTCAGTTGGAGGTATCCCCTCGAAATTTCGCACGTGCAAGGCTCACCCTCTCGCCCGCTCCGTTAGTCGCCCCAAAAGGCGCTTTACTGGTATAAAGTGGTTTATGTCGGGACGAATAGGCCATAAAATACTGAATGTCTGCATCCCTTATGCTCTGCTCAAGCGTGATCTTGTGACATCAACCACATTCGCATTTCATTTCAGGTCACTTACGAATGATATTGTGGTAAGGTAAATGAGCCTCTAAACGGTCAACTTCGAACACTTCAACTTGAAAGCGCTTTCAGTGTCCGATGTTCGTACGAATGGGGACGAAACTATGAGGTAGTCATCAGCTGTGCCATCAGTCTCTCAGTCTCGCGAATGCTGCAGCTTGTGAGGAAATTGGGCCCTTCTGCAGTATGGTGCCATTTCATGTTGGATGAACAAAAACATGGAAAATAACTGCAGACCCATTGTTGTTGCCGCAGATATTGTTTTATGGATAAAATGACCGATGATTGGTATATTAACATCTCAGGAACACATTTATCAAAGACGGCTAAGTATTATCTATCGTGTCGAGGTTTCCACAATTCTACAAACGTTTCAAGGCTTTCGCAAGACTTTTCTCCTCTCTCACATCCTTCCATGCTTCCTTTCACACCTTTACAATAGCCTTGCCCGTGTTTTGGCCTTTGAGCATGCCTATAAATGCCTGGGGCATCTTCTCGAAGCCGGTCGTAACCGTCTCCTGAACCTTGATCTTCCCCTCGCGAACCCAGGCGACCATGTCTTTGAAGGCCTCTTCACGCCGGTGCCACCACCGGTGGATGACGAAGCCCTCGATCCTCAGCTGTTTGCTGACGATGGCCATCTCAGGCACAGGCACCTGCGCCTCCTGACCCGTCTTGTCGTTGTAGCTGGAGATGGCGCCACACACGGAGACCCGGCCGAACAGGTTCATTTGCTGCCGAATCCGGTGGCTGAGCATGCCGCCCACGTTGTCGAAGTAACAGTCGATCCCCTTGGGTGCAGCCTCCTTCAGGGCAGCGTCGATATCGGCGCACGTCTTGTAGTTGATGGCCACGTCGAATCCGAGCTGGCGGATCCAGGCACACTTGTCGTCCGTACCCGCGAAGCCGATCACGCGGCAACCCTTGATCTTGGCGATCTGTCCGACCAGGCTGCCGACGGCGCCGGCCGCGCCCGTCACCACCACCGTCTCGCCCTCCTTGGGCTGGCACAGCTCCAGGAAGCCGAAGTAGGCGGTGACTCCCGGCATGCCGATGACACCCAGCGCGTAGGAGCGCGGCAAGTCTCCAAGCTCAGGTAGCGGTTCGAGGCCGGTGGGCGCCTTACCGTCCTCCGGCTGGTCCTTGGCCACGCTCAGCGTCCGCCAGCCCAAGTTACCGGCCACAACGTAGGAGCCGGCCGGGTACTTGTCGTTCTTGCTCTCCAGCACCTTGGCCACCTGAGCGCCGATCATGGTGAACGGCGGAGTGAAGCGCCTCGTGTAGGGCCGCATGTACGGATCGACGCTCAAGTACTCGGCCTGGCAAAGGATCTGGCCCGGCTTCAGACCGCCCAGCTCCTCAGACTCCAGACGAAAGTCGTTTGACTTTGGGAAGCCGTCAAAGTGACGCAGCAGGGTGAATTTGTCCGCCTTCATGGTGACCTGTTGAAGAGAGACAAACCCGTCAGCCAAAGTGGAAAGTAGGTATAGCATCTTTTTTTTTGCAGCGGTGGTCGTTTAAATCAATTGGCTAGTTCTGTAATATGCACGTGACGAGAAAAATCTAAACATCTGCGGAGAGCGTAATCAGTGCCTAGTTTTTCGGTTAATTGCATTATCACTAGCGCTAACCGCAGTAAACAAACATCACCTGCATTTCCCTTTGATATAGCACTATAAGCACAGTAATGAATAGCTCAATCCTCTTAGAGAAATAAATGCTAGCATAAGGCCAAAATTACATGCGTAAGGTAGTCAAAATTGCTGCTATTACAATGAGCGTAGAGAAGGCTGATCCAAAGTTTCTCACCTCGATGCTGGATCAATGTGCAACAACACGTTCTGTCGATCTTGACGATCTGTGTTGCGGAGCTTTGAGTGGCGAGCACGCAGGTACCGCGGTCACGGCTGAGCTCCTACTGACCCCCACTAACCGATACGATACCGACTGCGCCGCCGATAAGATGCCCGGTCATGCTGATGTGGTCCGACCGGGAGCGTCGGACAAACTCCGCAGCTCACGGTTATCCGAGACGATAGCACACACCACGAGGCTGAGTTGTGTGTGGAAACGGCTCAGTGGGACGGACAGGTCCGACCGTACTGAGCTGGCCAAAGGTGGCTGCTATAAGGTTTAAAGCCTAGTGGAGGGTAGAATGGTGGTGTTGGGGGCATTCGAGCTATTAACTCTGTTGAACAGATAAAGGAAAAATATGTAAATATCGATATCAATATTGATATAGATAGAAATAGATAGATATAACGATACACAAAGCAGATATAGATATAGAAACAATCGAAAGATTTGAATCGGCTATCGACTTGTAATTGTTAGTTCGAATGAGCACTGCTCTTACTGGTAGGTATGTAAGCATTTTGTAGATGAAAGCTGACTACCTTGATGAACTGGTCACAGTGCACTTTATCCCACCGACCGGCTCAGCACACCATAAAGTGCATGACGCCTTTCCCGTATCTGAAAGTGAACGAGTGACTTGCACAACTGAGACATATCGCCTCTGTTAGCTCAAGCATGCCAATGTAGTTATGTACACACAGGATAGGAGCGGATAACAGCTAACAGATATGTATGCACTTACGATGGCTTCCGTACAAACTACAATGGTAGCTTGCACTTCATGGGGCTTTCATGGGTGAAGTGAGCAATATTAGCTCATTGGGTGGACATCAGTGAATGCTTTAACACTGCACAGGTAAGCTGATGTAGATGATTATCAAATGACAGATGGAACATATAAGTGCATGTATGGACTAAACTTTTGAATTCATTTTAAAAGGGATAAAAACGCAAGAAATTACACGTTTCGCATTTATTGCTTAGTCATGGGTGTTACAGTGCGATTTTATCTCTGTTAAAATGAACTCAAAAGTTTAGGCCATTCATGCACTTATATGTCCCTAAGCTGATGTAATTAGAACACCACATCAGTTTCAAACCATTCAAATGGCGGTTTGAATAAGCATACAACCATGTCTCAATTCGTCTTTATCGGCGTCACAGGCCAATAATACTCTGAAATACTAGTGTGTACAGAATCAACTGCGGGTCTCTGTACAATTAGCCTCCCATGGTTTAAAGCGCATGTAGTCTTCATGTAGGTATAAAAGATGTATATGGATTGTAGTGCCAAAAAGTTGGTGCCCAAGTCTCAATTGTCAAGAGCCATTTCTGGCTGCATACTAGCGTTACGTTTATTCAACAGCATAAACTCGCAGAGCCCGCACAGACAGTGGGTCTAAGTTAGGGCATAAGCACCAGCATCCACTTAAGCTTTGTGATTTTCTTAATCCGCTCCCATGATTAAAGACCATGAGAACCAAAATCACCCGACAGAACACTTCTGCATATTCACTTATCACCGTCCCGCTGTTCGCCACCCTCTGGGTTCGGTCCACCCAGACACAGCCCATCCTCCACCGGGTGTCTCCACGGCTCATTGATGGGAACAGTCTTCCAGAAGTCGACACGCTCCTGGAAGAGCCTCTCGCCGACCGAGGGCGCCGTGTTCAGCCGCATGTGTCGCTGGTGCAGCTCCGTGAAGACGGGCCAATCGGGCATAGGCAGCACGTCCGATCCAGGCCGACCGGTGCGCGCGAACGTCGTCCACACGTTGACCATAAAGCGGACCATGGTGTGGGTCGGTGTGCCGCGCCGTGCGGGGGGAAGTTTGTCGTTGCTGAACAGGTACAGGATGTCATCCGCGTGCGTGGTGCCAAAGTCGGGCACACCCGACCTGAAGAGATTGACGTGGGCTTGGCTGAGCCGTCCCGGTCCGATGTGGTCGAGCAGATATTTGTATACTGGAGTATGCTGCGAAGCCAATGTCATCTCAGCCGCCATGGGCGACACCAAGTGCCGGTCAGCCCAGCCCTGCGTCAGCGGTAGAAGACTCGAGGTGTTGACGTCCCTGTCGCCGACGTAAAAGTCGTACACTCTCTTCGCCTCTTTCATTGGATCGGTACCACAGTCCAGTTTGTTAACACCAGACGCAGTAACCAGACCAGCTGCATGAACCCATTCTGACAGATTTCCTTTGGATAGCGCTTCCACGACTCGCTTGTTTGCGAACAGCGATGGCGCGAAGAAAGCGCCCTCCTCCTCTGTCAGGCCAGTCATCCACGGCACCAGGTTAAACTCGCCACGAGCCAGCAGCAGGTGCGGGTCGTCCGGAATAAGTGGGTTCTCCGCCTCGCGATCCACCCGCAACTGTTCCGTGAATCCGGGCTTCAGTGTCTTGGTGTGCTCGGCGATTTTCTCCCAGGGCTGTTCCTTGATGCACTCGACCATTGCGGTGACGTCTTCCGTGGGACATCTAAGCAGGCCAGCCAGCTTTTCAGCGGCATTTTCCTTTCGGCTACCCAGCCCCCATCTGGCCAGGGCCGTGCCGGACTGGGTGATGGCATGGTGGAACAAACCCTTCGCCAGCGGGCTCAGCATCAGTAGCGACACGCTGGCTCCGCCGGCCGACTCGCCGAAAATGGTCACCGCGTGCGGGTCGCCTCCAAACGCGGCGATGTTGTCCTGCACCCAGTGGAGCAGCAGCACCTGGTCCAGCAGGCCGTAGTTGCCCGGGGCTGCCGCGTCGTGCGTTGTGAAGAAGCCGAACGTGTTGAGTCGGTAGTTGAATGTCACCAGCACCACGTCCTCGTCCATAAAGTAGCTCGGTCCGTAGATATCATCATCGCCGCTGCCGGTGCTGAACCCTCCTCCATGGATGTACACCATAACGGGCAGCCCGGCGGTGGCGGGTCGGGACAGCTCCGGAAGGTGCGGCGTGTACACGTTGGCAAACAGGCAGTCCTCGTCACCCTTCAGAGTGTTATTGTTCAGCTTGTCGAACTGGGGACACACTTTGCCGTGCGACAGACCGTCCGCCACGCCTCTCCAGGCGAGATGTCGCTGAGGTGGCTGGAACCGCAGGCTGCCAACCGGAGGCTTCGCGTACCGGATTCCCTTGAAGCTGTAGAAGAGTCTGCCGGCAACGCTCCTGCCTATGGCACCCCTGATCAGACCTTCTCTCGTGGCGATTAGTGGTCTTCCATCATCTTGTCCAGAGCAGCCAGCGGCAGATGTAACCAACAAGGCAGCGATGCAGAGCAGGCTCACCATCCTCAGAAAATTAAGCGTTTTCGGTTTCATATTTCCTTCGCACACAGACACAGAGTTCTCACCAGCTCGATGCCGTTCGCAGCAGTCAGACCCCGCACTCCCTCCACTCCAGCCCGCTCACGCAGAGTTCCTGCGCTGCACTGCCCTCCCCTCCTGCGTTGACCTTCGCCCACCGTCCGCACGCGGCTACAAAACAACTCGGCTGTGATCTCAGGCCACCCGCACCCTCTGTGACGTCACTGCCAGTCGGCCAGTCAAGGTGAGCTAGTAGCTGATGGTTCTCTCAGGCTAACTGGAGCCAACCATCACTGGCAGGTTCAAGGCCAAAGGAATGGTCGGTCAAGTGCTACAGTTTGCATTATATGTACATGACGGCAGTCAGTCCTTGTGTGCAGCAATGTTCGCCTTTGCCTAGCGAAACGTGTTTCGCCGTGTCAGTAAATTTCAGAGATGCGGGGTCGGAGTCTGAGTCGGAATCTGCTGAAGTCAACAGTTCTGCCCGAAGTCTGAGTCGGGGCCGTCAAACTACATGTATTACCAACTCCGACTCCGGAGTCGGAGCCGACATGACATGGAGCCGACATGAAACTATTATGTTCATTGACCTTTCCAAGACAGATCTTATCAAAACTAAGGCCATACTCCACTGTCCCCTCCATGGCTGAGTTGATTAAACCGCTGGAATTCGACGCTTAGCCGGTAGTGAGAGCCCGTTTCAAACCCCGGTGCGGGCGGCCACATTTAGCTCCTACGTTTTATGGCGTGCGTGTCTGTGGCAGGGGCCGCACAGAAGCGAGGTAACGTCAGTAAGCGGAAGGGGCCGTGTCCACTGTCCAGTCGTGAGGGCACGTTAAACGTTCGGACAAAATTCTGCCATACTACTGGAATTGCGCGATCGGGTGGTGGGGGGGGGGGGGGGGGTCAAGGGCAGCACAACAATTCATGCTTAGTGCGGGCTCTGATTCCTCAAATCCGTCCATTCAACCATTCGGACTAAATTTATTTAAAAAAATATTCCTGCTGTTGACGAGCGTCTTGAAATTAGAGAGCAGAAAACAGCCGCTTTGCCAGAACCTGCTTTTAGCTCGCCGTTTTCTACAAAGTAATTTTCAATGTAAGGCGCAATTGCTGCCAACGTTATTGTGAATTTAATAATAAAAACAATGGCATCTCAAACCCAATATAATGTATAAACAGAACGCCGGCGTCTGGTCGTGTTCCCACTAACCATGACACAGCCGTATTTTGTACTTACATGGGCTCTGGTCTGGGCGCCAGTTCGTCCTTCTTATGTAACTTCCAAATGGCGTGCTACATAGTACGTATGTACAGTCCACAGCAGAAGTAATGTGCGGTTTCAGTCATGGGTATGTTCTGCTTCTGAAGCTTGGGAACGATTAGCCAGACTACAATGAAAGGCATTAACCCGCGCACCGACGGGGGGCGGATATCCGCCCCCCTGAGGTTTTTCGCAAATAGCGGAAAAACCGCAACGCGTAGCGCCGCGAAATTTGGCACGACTATTTTCTTATTAATTTTTAACATGGTGTTCAAGTTTGAACTTCCTAACTTTTAAGGTCAGGTCACCAGGTCACTTTGAATGACCCAACCTCAAGTCACTTTTTTGCAACTTTGTCACCGTGCCAGAGCTACAATAGATGTCGGAGGCCTTTGAAAGTCGCAGGATGTTATTAGGTCATTAGTAGCTACAATTTGTATATCTCAGAATTTTGATATCGATGACCTAAGGTCAGGTCAATTTCTCGACCTCTCCATTAGAAGTCAATGGGGAAAAAATCAACTCCCTGTTTTTACCACTAAAACGGTTCGGAATGGCCCCATATACCATACATGACTTCATATACGATCAACCTTCACTACCTTGAGGTCTGTTTTGCTGTTGAGCAGTTGTAAGGTCATGTGACGTCATCAAAGGTCACCAAAGGTTTTTTTGTCAATAACTCCGTACAGAAACAAGATACAGCCGCGCGGATGGTCTCATTGTGTTCAGCTCGTCAAGACGCATCGAATGATATACATGATGACCTCGAGGTCACGTAACCTGAGGTCAACCTTTGACCTTGACCTTTCGAGGTCAACATATATCATTCGATGCCGATTGACGAGAGAATTACGATGATGCCCTTAGTTCTCCTATCTTCACCAACTCGAAAGTTATTCGAGAAAAACTCTCCATATCTAGCGCCGCCATTTTGACTTTTTTGACCCCTGTGACGTCATCTTTGACCTGACCTGAAAATGACCTTAGTAAAAATTGTAGACCTTGTCCGTGCGTATCCGATGCCGTTTACCGCTTGTCGCTATCTTGCTTCGTTCTCGAGATCTCAGGGGGGGCGGTCATCCGCCCCCCCCGTCGGTTCTAAGTTGGCGCAGACCCCCATCGGTGCGCGGGTTAAAAAATCGACAGTCAAAGCCATCCGCTGAGATTGGTAAAACCACACAATACTTTAGCAGTGGGCTGTACCTCCCTCGCACCCACTAAAACCATCGACAGAATTGGTGAAAGGGTTTTTCACACATTGCTGCGCACAGTCGCACGTGTATTCGCCATGCACACTATGTACACACACAGTTACACACGTCTGATGCAGGCTCAAGATGACATTTACCGGGGATATATGCTCAGAGTAAATCCGTTTCACAAACGGATTCCGAAGCCAAGCGAATGTGAGAGCGCGATGCATATTAACTTGCGTATGTATTCGATCGACGCCATAGAGTGGTCGACGCTGGAGACCTCCACGCTGAAAACTTTTCTACTCCTTTACTTCGCTGGCGAGTTATTCATTTCTTATGCATACGGGTAGCAAACTCCACAGACGCATTACGCCACTCACCGGTGACGTGAAAAACATCTTTCAGTTTACTTTCAGTAACTTTCAGTAAATTGAAAGACGTCCATTCTTTCAGCTTACTCTTGCCTACATTCCCCCCTTGGCCGGGTTGTGTGTAGTGAACCGATAGGTCCAGCCAAGGCCACCGAAAAGTATCCATTCGGCCGCTTCATTTGGCCGTTCCAGTTGCAATTTTTTCGCGCAAGTCTCTATGTCGGCCGAATTACCGACTGATCGTCTCCAATTTGGAAGCCTATTAAGCGCCTTTTATTGGGAATTCGGTTCAAACAATAATTGGTGATGCTAAAAGTAGACAGATGAATAATACAAATTCTGCCATCTTTTTCATGTTTGTAGCCCTTGAGAAAGCTAAAACAGCCAAACATCTGGCAATATATTAACTTATTAACCCTCGCCGGTACAGGGTGATGTATAGATGAAGATGTTCAGGTTGATGTAACTCCCTTAAGGTTTTTCGCAAATAACTCGCCTAAAAAAGCGGCCGATCGCGACAAAACTTTCAGTACCTTCGCATTAATCAATTTTACACCTATTCTAAAAATTTCATGACCCTGACTGAAACGACCTTTGACCTGTGACCTAGTTTTCGAGACCATGTTGGGCCGGAATCGCGATTCGGCGTATGTCGGCTCGCATTAGCCGCGCGTTTGCGGTCTTTTCGTGGTTTCCAGCGTTCCAACATGTGATTTGATGCTGCTCACATGCATTAGGGTGGATGTCAAGGCCACCTGAAGGTCAGGCTAGGTCATTGACCTTTGATGACCTCAGTCCAGTTTTTGAGTTTTACATGCTTCTAGGCTAGTTTTTGGAACTGAATTCGAATTTAGCAACCATTTGAACAATTATGAAGTAGTTTTGGTGCCTTCGTGACATGTTACGATGCTGTCAGAGGCGGTTGACCCGTACTACGAGTACCCGGCAGGACCCCTAATGGTTGACCTGACCTGACCTGACCTGACCTGGCCTAAATGCATAAAGACATCATCTGTGATCGAAACTAACATGATGCTCGTGATCATCACCCCGAGAACCCCACACCAGCCACACTTTACGACGTTCTAACAGTTCCCGATTTTTCCGACTTTTGGGTCATTGACCTGACCTGGAAGGTCAACCGAGGACCTAGAACCTTAAAACTGGATATCATCGGCTTCCTCTCGTCATGGGCAACACGCTCGTTTTTTCCGCGAAGCTCTAGCTCGATCAGGGGCAAACGCGAGGGGGGTTGTACCAACCCCCCCCCCCCCCCTCCCCCTTGTGTCGTCGAAGGACGCAAAATGGCCTGTGCCGGCGAGGGTTCACGATTAGCGATTAACGATTAAGGATTTTATGACAATACTGGAGTAACGAATTACAAGAGGTCTTTGTTGCATTAATATGCTCAATAGCGGGTGTCTACTAAATAATGAGAAATGGTTGAAGCAGTTAAAAGCACCCTGGCCGTTTCGCCCCTGCTGAAGCTAGAGCCTCGGGGGAAAATCGAGCGTGTGCGCCGTTACGAGACGCAGCGACAGGTACCCAATTTTAACGTCTCAGGTCAACCGGTGGTCTTTGAGGTCAGATCAAGTGGCCCAATGCACTTGTTCGTTGTTTATAAATACTTCGCAAAATGGCCGCAGGGCCGCAATTTTGGCATCATCATGTTCGCCTCGCTCAGGCGCGTCGAATGGTATACTTTTCGTTCGGATGAGTTCAACTTAAGACGCTAACCTCGGTTCACGGTCAGGCCAGAGCCCCCAGGTCACAAAGCTGGTCGAAAGAGGTCATGTCGCATATCATTCGATTAGGCAGGTCTTCCTAATTCCATTGGTGTCTTTTCCTTCTCGCTAGCTTAATTCGATCGGGAGTTTTTGACAAAAACTAATATGACCCTAGTGACGCAATAAATGACGTCACACAAGGTCAATAATGCAAAAATGAAGCATTGGACCTTGCAAGAAGTGCATGAAATCCAGATTTCGTGTGCCTGAGATAGTTCGAGATCGTTCCCGGCGCAAAACTAGTAGTTTTCATTTTCGCCATTGATTTAAAAGAGATCCGTGGATTTCTTGGTGACTCCGACTCCGACTCCAACTTTCGCTTACAATTTGACTCCGATTCCATCTCACACTCCGGAGATTGATTCCTCTGTCCTTAACATGGTAGTAAAGCTGACATCGATATTTTTACCCCTGAAAGATCTTTTGCGCGTTCCATGGCCTTCCCTTGCAAAAACACTTGGTAAATAGCATGCAGAACAACAAATAGGTGCTGGAGTAGAAGCTGCGCCTACTTTTTCGCTCAAATCGCTCGTCAGGAGAAGGACCAGAGCTTCGACAATATCTGATAAAGCAAGGCCGACGAGCGTAATATTGCCTGGCAAACGGATGTAGTGGATGACTTTGAGCCATGTCGTGTTAACTCCCACTCCAGAGTCGTAGTCGGTAAGATTTTTGACGCCTACAACTCCAACTCAGGACGGGCTTGCCGATATCGACTCAGAATCAGACTCCTACTCCAAAGCGTGATTTGAAATGTGTCTGCACACTAGCGTAAGTTTTATTCAGCAGCATAGATACACAGAACCCGTACAGATAATCCCTCCTAGTGACACCATTAGAATAAGCACTCACCTAACCTTTGTGATTCACTTCATCCGCTCTCGTTGTCATGAAACATGAGAACAAACATTACTAACTAGACAGAACTTCTCCATCTTCACTGGTCACCGTCTGGCTCTTCGCCAGCCTCTGCGTTCGGTCCTTCCAGACACAGCCCATCCTCCACCGGTTGTCTCCACGGCTCATTGATGGGCACCGTCTTCCAGAAGTCGATACGCTCCTGGAAGAGCCTCTCGCCGACCGAGGGCGCCGTGTTCAGCCGCATGTGTCGCTGGTGCAGCTCCGTGAACACGGGCCAGTCGGGCATGGGCAGCACGTCCGATCCGGGCCGACCGGTGCGCGCGAACGTCGTCCACACGTTGACCATGAAGCGGACCATGGTGTGGGTCGGCGAGCCGCGCTGCACCAGCGGCAGCTTGTCGTTGCTAAACAGGTACAGGATGTCGTCTCCGTGCGTCGTGCCGTAGTCGGGTACACCTGGCAAGAACAAATCAACGTGGGCTAGGCTGAGCCGCCCCGGTCCGTCGTAGTCGAGGAGATATTTGTACACAGGCGCGTGGTGCGAGGCCAGAGTCGTCTCGGCCGCCATCGGGGACACAAAGTGCCGGTCAGTCCAGGCCTGCACCAACGGCAGCAGACCTGAAGAGTTGATGCCACGGTCTCCGACGTAGAAGTTGTACACCTTCCTGGCCTCTTTGATGGGATCGCCACCACAGTCCAGCCTGCTGACTCCATCCGCAGTGACCACTTCAGCTGTCCGAGCCCAGGCCGACAGATTTCCTGTGGACAGTGCCGCCACGACTTGCCTGTTTCCGAGGATCAGAGGAACGAAGAGAGCACCCTCCTCTTGGGTCAGGCCGCTCATCCACGGCACCAGATTAAACTCACCGCGCGCCAGCAGCAGGTGCGGGTCTTCCGGAATAAGTGGGTTCTCCGCCTCGCGATCCACTCGCAACTGATCCTGGAATCCCGACTTCAGTGTATTTGTGTGCTCGGCGATTTTCTCCCAGGGCTGTTCCCTGATGCACTTGACCATTGCGGCCACGTCCTCTGTGGAACAGTCGAGCAGGCCAGCCAGCTTCTCGGCGGCGTTGTTCTCTCGGCTACCCAGCACCCAGCTGGCCAGCGCCGTGCCAGACTGGGTGATGGCATGGTGGAACAGACCCTTCGCCAGCGGACTCAGCACCAGTAGCGACACGCTGGCTCCACCGGCCGACACGCCGAAGATGGTCACCGCGTGCGGGTCGCCGCCGAACGCGGCGATGTTGTCCTGCACCCACTGCAGCAGCAGCACCTGGTCCAGCAGGCCGTAGTTTCCAGGAGCTGCCGCGTCATGCGTCGTGAAGAAGCCGAACGTGTTGAGTCGGTAGTTGAACGTCACTAGCACCACGTCCTCGTCCATAAAGTAGCTCGGTCCGTGAATATCATCATCGCCGCTGCCGGTGACGAACCCCCCTCCGTGGATGAACACCATAACGGGCAAACCGGTGGTGGCGGGTCGGGACAGCTCCGGAAGGTGCGGTGTGTACACGTTGGCAAACAGGCAGTCCTCGTCACCCTTCAGAGTGTTATTGGCTAACATGTCGAACTGTGGACACACATGGCCGTGCGACAGACCGTCCGCCACACCTCTCCAGGCAAGATGTCGTTGAGGTGGCTGGAACCGCAGGCTGCCAACCGGAGGCTTCGCGTACCGGATTCCCTTGAAGCTGTAGAAGAGTCTGCCGGCAACGCTTCTGCCTATGGCACCCCTGATCAGACCTTCTCTTGTGGCGACAAGAGGTCTCCCGTCATCTTGTCCAGAGCAGCCAGCGGCAGACGCAACCGACAGCACAGCGATGCAGAGCAGGCTCAACATACTCAGAAAATTAAGCATTTTCGACTTCATATTTCCTCCACACACAGGCGGAGAGTTATCACCGATGGCGGCGTTCTCCGCGGGCCGACTCCTCACTCCCTCCGCTCCAGCCCGCTCGCACCGATCTCCCGCGCTGTACTGCCCTTTCCTCCTGCGTTGACCTCTGCGCACCGTCCACACGCGGCTGGTAAACAACCCGGCTGTGATCTCAAACATTCCGCACGCTCTGTGACGTCACCGGCAATCGGCAAGTCATGGTGAACTGGTAGCTCACGGTCCCCTCAGGCTAACTGGAGCCAACCATCACTGGCAGGTTCAAGGCCAATGGGACGGTCGGGTGCTAGTTTGCATTACACATGACGGCAATCCCTCTTTGTGTGCGGCCTTTGACCAAGCGAAACGTATTTCGCCGTGTCATTAAATATCAGGGCTTTGGAGTATAGTCAGAGTCAGAGTCGGAGTCCGAGTCGGTTGAGTCGATTGTTCTTCCTGAGTCGGAGTTTGGTTTATTAACCCGCACATGACGGGGTATTTTCCATAACGCGAGTGACTGAGGGGGTGGGGGGTGGGACTGAGTTGATCGTCCAAATTCAAACGGCGGCTGATAGACCTGGAATAACTGTCAAAAGATTCCTAATTTTATTGACCTCAGGGTCACCAATGACGTCAGAGGCCATGTCAAAGTAAAAATTATCAGCATTTTGGCTTGTTCACAATTTAGGCTCTGGCCGCCGGCTAACAATTCCGATCAGGCTAATTTTTGGTTTACGCACTTCTTGATATATGCCCTAGATACCCTGAGGGTACCGAACTTGTATTTTGAATTTTTAAAGTCAAAGCCAGGTAATCCTAGGTCATGGAAATTTGATATCATGTAGTTACCGGTCACGTGACGCATGTGTTATGGTCCATTCTACTCAAAGATTTCAAAAACAATGTCGTCTATGTCATTTTAGGTCATGTTTAGCTGAATTTACCTAAAGTCAGGTCACTTTCAGGTCAAAAAAGGTCAAATTTTGAAGAAAAAAAAATGATTTTTTTCAACAAAAAGGTAGCTATCAGGTAGCTATCAGATGAGGTCAGAAACACGATAATGGTATTTATATTGCTGTACAATGTCAAAATCATACTAAAAAATGGATTTGAAAAAAAAAATATAATTTTGAAATTTTGACAAATGCGTATAACTTGGCCATTTTTAAAGATATTGGTAATTGGGCTTACCTATACCTTCTAGAGAAGGTCATCGGTAGGCATAGGTACTATAGTTCGTTTTTTTTTTTAAAGTTCGACCCTCACTGTAATTGACTCTTTGAACACAGCACGAGAATTGCTAGCTGAATTGCTGAGAAAACTGGTTAGCGCACATTGTATTGGAGTAATGAAAAATAATTTCCAAATAACTTTTAACCCGCGCCCCGCTGGGCTATTCAGCCATACGCGCCCTGCTGGGGGGGAGATTCTGCCCCCCCCCCTGTCTAACTTCCGAACCGATGGTCGTAGAAAGACAGGGAAAACGGCAATCGAAAGCTCTCAACAAGGCGGATCTTACGAGCCCAAATTTTTTTGCTTAAGTAGGTCAGAGGTCAGGTCAAGGTTAGGTCAGTTGCCGAAGAATGGACTGAGACTGATTGCCCAAAACGTGTTCTTAGGCTACCAAGACAATATTCGTTGCATACAATATCATTCGAAGGTCAAGGTCAAGGTCAGGTCAGGTCAGGTCAGGTCAGGTCACCAAAAACAAAATATAGAAAAGGGCATGTGCGACACATGTTTTATGGGCCACTTTATTCATAGAATTCAATAGGCACACTCAATAATTGATATGGACCACATCTGGATGAATTTCAGGTCGAGGTCAGGTCAAGGTCAGGTCAAAAGAGGTCAAATTTTGAAGTTGGTTGTTAAGGCCTAAAAAGGTGTCTATCTGATGCAGTTTGTCACGGCGAATCGAATGGTGCTATTTTTGTTTCCGTACGAGGTCTAAAACTTCCAAAAAATTATTTTTTTCAAAAATTTTGTGTTTCGTGACGTCATAAAAGTTTGAATAACTCCAACATTTTTGAACCGATTCTTCTAAAAATTGGTATGTAGGTGCACATAGACCACTTCTCTGACATATATTCCGGTTCTTTCGATACACTCAAAACTTTGGATTTTATAATTATTTTCCCAAAAAATTAGTGTTCGAAAAATTTGGGCCAAAATCCGAAATTTTCAAAAAACCGAGTTAGCCATTTGATAGACAAAGTAGAGTTACGTATAGCCTTTTTTGTTACGTCTTGATTCCTTTAAAAACGAAGATGTTAGCGGCGTTTGAAATTTTGCCGTTTTTGAGGCGAAAATGGCGAACATGACGTCACTAAAACGGCATTTTCTCAAAAAATTTCCGACGGATTTCGCTCAAATTTTCAGGAAACGTGACCAGTTGATATATTATAAGGTACTGAAAGTTTGACGTCGCTGGCGTAACGCTTTTAGAAGTTATTGGCGAAAAACGGGAGGGGGCAGATTCTGCCCCCCCCCCCCCGCAGCGGGGCGCGGGTTAAACGCCGATAATATACCTACCGTCATGTTAGACGCCCTGCAATTCACTGATAAGGTTAGCTATCATTCCTGGCAAGTCGTCTATCCCATGTCCATCAAGACAGCCCATATTCAGCCTAGATTCAGCCCGGATTAAGCCCAGATTCGGGACACCTCCGATCAAGCTGAAACTCGCACACAATGTAGGACCTGACATGCCCAATCCACAGTCCGAGTCATTCGGTGGCACTCCCAGCCGTTTGACCTACAGAGGTCAGCAAAGGTCACGTGGCCCAAAATTGCACAGCAGATTGTGGCCCAACCAGTAGCGCTAGAGCGCTAAAAATGGCACCAATCTACTCGCCAGCATCAAATCTTACTTTCCCAACACCCATTTGACCTCTCAAGGTCATGCGATGACCTAAGGTCATTTGTAGGCTATGTCGAAAATACAATTGCACAGCAGTTTTCGAGTAGAGGAATCGACCGAATTCCAAATCAAAGCACCTTATCGGGTAGCCCATAGGCCTTATTAACTTTCCTTAAAAACCGCTTCTCGATATGTGACCCCGTTTGACCTTGGCAAGTCAAAATGTGTCAATAAACGACACTCCATACGTCGCAGCCCGGATTCAGCCCAGATTCGGGACACCTCCGATCAAGCTGAAACTCGCACACAATGTAGGTCCTGACATGCCCAATCCACAGTCTGAGTCATTTGACGGCACTCCCAGCCGTGTGACCTACAGAGGTCAGCAAAGGTCACGTGGCCCAAATTTGCACAGCAGATTGTGGCCCACCCAGTAGAGCTAGAGCGCTAAAAATGGCACCAATCGACTCGCCAGCATCTAATCTTACTTTCCCAACACTCATTTGACCTCTCAAGGTCATGCGATGACCTAAGGTCATTTGTGGGCTATGTCGAAAATACATTTGCACAGCAGTTTTCGTGTAGAAGGATTGACCGAATTCCAACTCAAAGCACATCATCGGGTAGCCCATAGGCCGTAGTAACTTTCCTTAAAAACCGCTTCTCGATATGTGACCCTGTTTGACCTCGGCAGGTCAAAATGTACAAATAAACGACACTCTATACGTCGCAGCCCGGATTCAGCCCAGATTCGGGACATCTCCGATCAAGCTGAAACTCGCACACAATGTAGGTCCTGACATGCCCATTCCACAGTCCGAGTCATTCGGCGGCACTCCCAGCCATTTGACCTAGAGAGGTCAGCAAAGGTCACGTGGCCAAAATTTGCACAGCAGATTGTGGCCCACCCAGTAGAGCTAGAGCACTAAAAATGGCACCAATCGACTCGCCAGTATCTAATCGTACTTTCCCAATACCCATTTGACCTCTCAAGGTCATGCGATGACCTAAGGTCATTTGTGGGCTACGTCGAAAATACATTTGCACAGCAGTTTTCGAGTATAGGGATTGACTGAATTCCAACTCAAAGCACATAATCGGGTAGCCCATAGGCCGTAGTAACTTTCCTTAAAAACTGCTTCTCGATATGTGACCCGTTTGACCTCGGCAGGGCAAAATGTACAAATAAACGACGCTCCATACGTCGCAGCACAGATTCAGCCCAGATTCGGGACACCTCCGATCAAGCTGAAACTCGCACACAATGTAGGTCCTGACATGCCTAATCCACAGTCCGAGTCATTCGGCGGCACTCCCAGCCGTTTGACCTACAGAGGTCAGCAAAAGTCACGTGGCCCAAATTTGCACAGCAGATTGTGGCCCACCCAGTAGAGCTAGAGCGCTAAAAATGGCACCAATCGACTCGCCAACATCTAATCTTACTTTCCCAACACCCATTTGGCCTCTCAAGGTCATGCGATGACCTAAGGTCGTTTGTGGGCTATGTCGAAAACACACTTTCAGCTTGATCGGAGGTGTCCCGAATCTGGGCTGAATCCGGGCTGCGACGTATGGAGTATCGTTTATTGGTACATTTTGCCCTGCCGAGGTCAAACGGGGTCACATATCGAGAAGCGGTTTTTAAGGAAAGCTACTACGGCCTATGGGCTACCCGATGATGTGCTTTGATTTGGAATTCGGTCAATCCCTCTACTCGAAAACTGCTGTGCAAATGTATTTTCGACATAGCCCACAAATGACCTTAGGTCATCGCATGACCTTGAGAGGTCAAATGGGTTTTGGAAGAGTAAGATTAGATGCTGGCGAGTCGATTGGTGCCTTTTTTAGCGCTCTAGCTCTACTGGGTGGGCCACAATCTGCTGTGCAAATTTTGGCCACGTGACCTTTGCTGACCTCTGTAGGTCAAACGGCTGGGAGTGCCGCCGAATGACTCGGACTGTGGATTGGGCATGTCAGGACTAGTGATGTCAATTACGGAAAATTGTAATACCGATACCAAACCAAATACCAACAATAACCACAAGAAAATACCAAAACCGAACTGACTTGGGGAAAATGAGGGAAATGCCAACTTTTTACCAAATTCACAGCCTCTTTTACATTAGCGACGATTCACAATACCGACAAAGTACCAAAAAACATTGGCCTTGAAATACCAAATACCAAGTTGGTATCGGTTTGGTATCGGTATACCAAAAAGTTGGTATCCGATTGACATCTCTAGTCAGGACCGGTCAGGACCTACATTGTGTGCGAGTTTCAGCTTGATCGGAGGTGTCTCGAATCTGGGCTGAATCCGGGCTGAATCTGGGCTGAATATGGGCTGTCTTGACGGACATGTCTATCCCTGTGGTTTTGTAAGCATATAGGC